TGCTGAACTGACCCTGGAAGAGCTGCTTCTGGTGACATAGGTACCTAGCAACCAAGACACTTCTGTTCCATACACATGGAGGAGGCGTGTGGAGGTGGCCCAAGAATGGTACACTCAGCAGCCTGCAGCGGTGATAGAGTGGCAGGCCTGGATCACTGTTGACTCAATGGCAGACCACTTTGCCACTGGGAGATAGTGGAGTGGGTGGGCCTGTGTCCTGCCTGCCATTCAATCTGTGGGTGGTAGTCTCCTCAGGCAGATAGCCAGAGGCTAATTAAATATGCTGCTGCCCTTCTCTGAACCTGAACTAGAGCCTGGGCCTTAAATATTTGCTGCTTCATCTGCAATCAGATTAAGCTCACTAATTGCGGTGCTGCTCCACTCTAAACCAGAGGCTGAGTTGAACTGAGGCTACTCTGTCTAAATAGGTGACCTCTGTTTCCTATCCTGCTTGCACCTGAGTCTGGGCTATTAACTGATGTTACTTGTCCAACCAGGAGGCAAGCCTGAGGCATACTCTGGACAGAGGATGCTGATTCCCCAGCAACGAACCTCACCCTTGCCATAGTGGGGTAGTGTGACGGCGCGTTGGGGTTCCCCGCCTCCTGCGCCCTCGAAATGGCATGCACAGACTCCACCAACTGGTAGAACAGAGGGAGTTTATTGCCTCTCCAGAATACAGCACAGCACAGATGTCACCAGGTTACAGGGCAGGCCTAGGATGCCTCAGCCCCCCTTGATAGGGTGGAGGGGTCTCGGCTTCTAAACCCCCCAGCCTGTTGCTGAGGCTGCTTCCTCCATGCTCCCAGACAGAAAGTAACTCACTCTCCTCCAGCCCTGCCCCCAGCCAGGGCAGCATCCACCTTCCTTTGTTTCTCCCCATGGGGGGCGGCTGGTCAGACAGGTTTGGAGCCCCCTTTGCATAATGACCAGACAGCAGAGGTCGTCACAGCCTTAGCAAGTTCCCCCCACTACGTCACACAGGGCCCCAATGTCCCGAGGTCTCTGGAAGTCCCAGATTCCGGCCTAGTGCTCAGAGCCGGGGAGGCCTTGGCAGCTCGAAGCTGCCAGCAGCGTGGCTGCGCCCTGGCCAGCTGGGATCTGGTACCAGGGGCCTACGCTGAGCTCCTGGGGTGTGAGGCCCAGCCTGTGGCCTGTGGCTCTGGGGGCCTGGTCTGACCACCACGTGGTTCTGAGCCCGGCAGGCCCCAGGGCACCTCCCAGACTAACCAAAACAGAGAGGCCTGAGCCTTCGCGGGCAAACCCGCTTCCTCAGATGGGCCCGGTGGCAATAGCAGAACCCAAGAGCGATAACGGCAGAACCTGGCCCGTGTGGCACCCGTGGGAATGAGGCCAAGTGGGATGGACGTGTCCCCTTCGTAGCTACTGAGGTGAAAATGCGACTCCCAAAGGCAGGGGACGTTGGCTTTGTAATGAGCCAACGGTTCATTCCCGTCACCTTGGGAGAGGAATTCCGGTTCTGCGGACTCTCTCTGGTGACGCTGCTGGGTAGAAGGGCCGGGCTGAGTGCCGGGGCAGGTCTGTGTCCCCTGCAGGCCTGTGCCCCTCCTGCTGTCCAAGCCGTGTCCGCGAGACAGTCCCGCTC